AGAGTTCCATCGGAATGTTTCCAGTAAAATTATTGTATGATAGAGAAAGTAATTCAAGATTTGTGCATATTCCCAAGTTTGGAGGAATGTTGCCAGTTATTTGATTCTCTGAAATTCTTAGCTTCTTTAGCTTTGGAAGATTGGTGCAGATATCCGTGGGAAGACTTCCAGAGAGACTATTGCTTCCTAAACCAATTTCTATCAAAGAAGAGACGTTGAGAATCTTGTTAGGAATATCCCCACTGAGTATGTTATGGGAGAGATTTAACTTCTGTAGATTTACAAGAAATCCAAAACTTGATGGAATGGAACCATTTAGATTATTGTACTGCATCTCCATTTTTTGAAGTTGGCTCAAATTACCCACTTCATTAGGGATAAATCCCTCAAAACTGTTGTTGCTAATAATCAAGGATCTCAAAAAAGAGAGTTTGCTGATCTCTTTTGCAATAGTGCCTCGCAAGCCCATATTTGTTAGATGTAAGCCTCTAACCCTCTGATGTCTTTTGCCACAAGTAATACCAATCCAATTACAAAACGAGGTTCCTTGTGACCAATTTTTAGCCAAGATTTTATTTGGATTAGAAATTATTTGAGATTTGAAGGCCAAAAGAGCATACTCATCACTGGAGCCATTGAGGGATGCAACAATGTAGATAAGCAAATAAAGCGTATATAGCAACGTAAAGATTACCTTTTTTTCCATGGTAATTTAAATGCATAAAGAAGATTGGGAGGTGGTTGTTATAAGGGGTTTGATATAAATGTAAGTGTATATTTTATATGAAATAAAAGGTCCCTGCAAGATAAGTATACAATGTAATCTATGGTTAAGAGTTCTGTTTGGGATTTTTATCTCAAGGGAGTGGTTCTCATTCCTCCATTAGTCGTAGACTCCGCTCCACTAATAGCCCATATTTCCACTTAGATATCATCTTGAAGGAGAGATGCTTATTGCTCCATTAATTGTGGACTCCACTTCTTTCCAACAATAAAACAAAAATTTCTTGACTAGCAAATTTGAAAATCCCATTGAGTGCATAGATTTTTCTTTATCTTCATTGTGGATGTTTTTCCATGAATGATATTGCATATAAATAATTAAAATACAGGTGCGCCGAGCGTGTGTATGTGTAACTTTTAGAGATTTCATTGTACTCCAATACCCCACATTTTCAAGTAGAATCCCAAGATTTTTTTTCTTCATTAATTTATAAAGATGTAGATATTTAAAAAAAATAAAAGCAGCTAAAATGTGCATCTCATCAAAACTTAAAACTATAAATCCTTTATGGTTTTATATTACATAACGTAAAATATAGCTTGAATTTTCATTTTATACAAGGTTTTTATGATTAAAAGTAACCCTAATTTTAATTCTTTAGCTAAGTGCTAATAACAGTTTATTTTGCTGTCACAAAAAAAAAAAATAAAAAAAAATAAATACTCAATTCAATTTTTTTTCTTCATTCATTTTCCAAAGTTATGAATAAAAGCAAAGAGATAGGCATAAACCACTGTTCCGTCCATGATCCCAAGCAATATCCACTCACTAGAAATCAACTTAGTGTGTAGTAGCGTCGGTCCTATGATTTTGGAGGCCTGAGGCAAACTTCATAGATTAGGCCCCCGAAAATTATAGTATGCATGCAAAATCTGAAAGTACATTACGAAACCAATTGTTAATTGTTAATCTAAAACTTAACAGTAAAATAAAAAAAATGCATTATACAATTTATGTCATAATTAAATAACAAAGCTGACAATGTTCTCAACGATTAGTTAAATACTATTCGCCTTGCAATTTTAAAGGTAAAAACATTAATCAAATTTGAATAATTTAACTATTCAACAATTCCTTTATCAATTGATAATATAGACAATTCATTCAATCTTTCTTTTGATATAGTTGATTGGAGATAAATCGGAATGACCAAAACTCAAATTTATTCAGATAACACTAGAAAGTTTAACTACTGCATTAGTTAACTTCAACTTCTTAAAGAGTCATAATTTAACATTTGAAGGATTTGTTCCAAAATTTGTCCACACAAAAGAGAAAAGAGAAATTAAGAGCATGTTTGGTAGAGATTTTAATCCAATTAGCATCAATTTTTTAACCGTTATTTCACTATTTCAGTCGTCATTTTTGAGTTCTTCTATCACAAGTAAAACCCATTTTATCTCTAACGGTCAAAAAATTAATTATCAAAATCTCTATCAAACAAGCACTAAATT